CCCCAAAACCCCAAAACCCCAAAACCCCGTTTAACAATGAGGATTTATTTATATAATTTTTGAATGAAGCCATACATAGAGACTAAGTTTGTGTCAAACAGACGGATGCATAGTCGTCCTTTGACTTCGAGGAATAAGAGAATGCAACCTTTGAAAAGTGATATAGTGGGCCAAACTATCAGAGGTCTTAAGTACAAATCAGACTTTATCTTTTTAGACTACACCAGCCCAGAGTAACCACTAGAAATATATATAAAAAGTATATTCTTATATCAAATTTGTAGCCAGGGACTGAATTCACAATTCACAGACAGGTTGATTCACGTTGAAACTTACAAAACTCTGACTGGAAGGGGTTATTTCAAGGATCCAGATTTAAAGAATAAGATTAAGTATGATTTCCAACAAAATTTAGGAAGTTTAATGATAAAAAGGCTAAGAAGAAGCTCATCAAAGAAGTAAAATAATGAAGTAAAGCAGAAGAAAAGGAGAGAGTACAGTCTGCTATCTCCTAAGATGAGTGTCGAGCGCCGGATTCTGGGTATCCTTTGCCTGGTAACATCTAGAGAACTGTAAGAGAAGAGATATGCTTTCCAAAATCAATTCAAAGGTAGTACTAATACAGAGATATATCAGAGGATTCTTTGCGAGAAAGTTAGTCAAAGAACTCAAGTAATCACTCATAGTTAACTTTAGGGAGAAGAAAAGACTTGCCATAATTCTGGAGAATGCCTGGGTGGCACGTAAGAACAAGTGTAAGGAACTTTACTATTCTATAGGCGTTAAGAGCCTTCCTATTAGCAGAGTAATTGAAGAGACGATTAAAAAGAACCAAGAGTTGCAATCCGAGGAGACCAAACAAGAGAATTCAGATATTTTAGTGAGAGAAAAGCAAGATGCTTTTAGCAAGATTGACGATATGGCTAAATTTTTCCAAACTTTAAAACGTCAGAAACTACCTGAGTATTTCTTGGTTGTAATCACATAGACTCACAAATCCTCCCAAGGTTGTTCAATCAACGAGTAAGGTAGATGTATCGGAAGAAGGAGAAGAAGAGAGTGACAAAACTGCAATCAAGCCTCCTTCAGAAGACAGTATCAAAGAGGTTGAACAAATTTTCGATGAATTCCAGAAACAGAAAGCTATGGAATATATGTCAGAAGTTTCTACCAAAGAGAAAATAATTTCTGAAAAAGAGATGTACAATGCCTTTCTCAAGGTGGATCAAAACTTTGACTTCAAGATTGATAAAGATGCACTCAAAAGAGTCATTCAGTGCCGGACAGAGCTAGATCCAGTAGAGGCAAATGGAGAACTTCAAAAACTTGATTTAGAGACTTTCCCACAGAGAGCTAGACTTAAGCCAATGAATATGAAGGAGATGGAAACCCAGGTTATCACAAAGTCTCAACACTGTACTTTCCACACAGATAGTAAGCTTGTAAAGGAGTTTGAGATAAACAGCATAAAGCCAAATGGAGTTTTGCATTCTTATATCAGTCAAGAAGAAAAGCTTGTTTATGAGAAGTATATCAAAGAGAGTCCAAATCCCCAAAGTTTTGTGAACTGGATCATTAAGAACCGCAGGCTGACAACTCCTGAGGAAAAAACTTTAACTATTTATGGTAAATTTCGGTTTGATTTTATAGATTACCCTTCTCATATGCCTTACTTCAGGAAGATCATGAAGGAAAGCCAGAATTATCCAGAAAACCCTACTTATGGAGTCCATAAATAAATCAATCTAGAGCCTGAAAGTTGGGGTTTTGGGGTTTTGGGGTTTTGGGG